CTGAAGATTTATCCTTAAACTAGCTGAGACTAGTAGGATTGTTAAAAGGAAGGCTTAGAACATAAAACTAGTTTTATGTTTTTTGGATTTAAAGCAATAGCATTAATTTGGAAATCAATAAAATAAAGAAAGAGAAAAACCGTAACCAAAAACTCCCAGGAAGACAACCTCAAACAAATGTCAAGAGCATCACTCATTTTCCCCGCCTGTGAAACCTTCTCTTTACTTCTTTAAATCTTCTAATGTGCTGTATGTCTAAAATCCCCTGCTCTACTGGTTTCAAATAATGTCATGCTTATAAGTTCCGGTTTCGTTCTTTCCATTTTCATCCATGAACTTGGATGTTACTTTTCCTATCACCTTTCAATTGATCGTCACCCGGGTCCAGTTATACTGCATAACCCTCGTGCTTTTCAGTTATATCCTCTCCATCCGCCTCTTCTGTTAATGACTCAATTGGATACTGTAGGTGTCCTGGCGTAGTTCCCATGGCATTGGCTTCTCCTTCCACATTGTAATTGTGCAAACCGTTCTGTGGGAACACTTCGGAATGAATGCATTCACTCACCTTATCAAAAAAATCTTTGGTATTGCTAACTCCCAAGACCTCAAAGAATTCTTAGAACCGACACCTTTATTGTTGTAATTGGTTGCCCTTCCATACCTATTTCTGTACCCATTGATATAATCCAAAACTTTTTGACCTGGTTGAGGAAGGTAGGTTAAGTAATCAAAATGTCTAGCCGCTTCTTCTTCTGCCAAGCTACTACTATTAATAATGATTAAAGCACAATCATTCCATGTGATTTGCCTCCAAGTAATATTTCTCTCGTTTGTTCCTGATAATGTCCCAGCAAATCTCCCTTAAAATATTTAACAGCAGCTTCTCCCCATAAATGATATAGCAAACCACTAAGATGGAAATGAGATTGTATACTATAGAGTTTCTCAATCATTTCAACATCCGTTGTTCCTGCAATCATTAAGTCCTCATCCTTACCTGCGCATCTTCTGTCTACTACAAGACCTGGGTCGGTCGTGTGGAAAAGTGGCATGTACCTTTTAATTGTTTTAATTGCTTCATTATATGCCGCTTGCTTCTCCGGTCTCACCACTAAACGTTCGTCTACGATTGGTTCCGTTCTTATGTTTGTTGTGGCAGGATTTTGAAGGGCAGGGTTTTGCGCAACTTGGATTTGGGGATTCTGGTTCATCTGGTTCAAGTTGTTAATGGCGTCAAGAACTCGCTCTTGCTGAATTTGTTGATGGCGTTGCTGTTCTTCAATTCGTTGTTGCTGAGCTTGAAGGAGTCCATGAACTTGTTGTCCTTGTTGTTGGTGTTGCTCTTGTTCTTGTTGTTGTTGTTCTTGTTTCCCGTGTATGTGTAGTTGTTGCTGGAGTTGCTCGTTTATGTGTTGTTGTTGTTGCTGGAGTTGCCCGTGAATTTGTTAATCTTGCTGATGTTGTTGCTGGTCTTGTTGACGTTCTTGTTGATGTTGTTGTTGTTCTTGAAGGAATTGTTCTTGTTGTTGTTGAAGGAGTTCTACTTGTTCTCCAAGTTGTGGGTCCGGTTGCCCTTGTTGTGCTTAAATTCCTTCTACAGTAGCTTACAATCCGGTAATTGCTTGAGTTGTTTGGTCTCATTGAGTGTTCTGTTGGTTCTGGAGCTCTTCTTGTCCTGCACGTTGGCCTTCCTGTAATTGTTCAACTACTTGACGCATTCCTTCTTCAACACCTTGTTCGTGCTGTAAGAATTCATTTGCTTCTCTCACATGGCCTTCGAGTTGTCTACGTTCTTTTCTTACATCACGTTGGAGGCTTTGGATCTCGGTAGTTGTTGTTGCAGCCACTTCGTTAATTCTTTCATGTAAAGCAGTAATATCTTGTCCGTGTATTGCCAATCTCGCTTCTACGCGATCTACCGAATTAAGTAACCGGTCTAACCGGTTTAGGATGGTGGCGTCTTCCATTTCGGTGTCGGACATTTGTTTGAGGTTGTCTTCCTGGGAGTTTTTTGTTGCGGTTTTTCTCTTTCTTTATTTTATTGATTTCTAAATTAATATTATGGCTTTAAATTCAAAAACCATAAAACTAGTTTTATGTTCTAAACCTTCCTTTTAACAATCCTAGTAGTCTCAGCTAGTTTAAGGATAAATCTTCAGTTATGAGCTGTATAGGAAACTCTTATA